TACTCTAAATCATTCCTGTACGAATGTGCCTTCACGAACATTTGCTGAATCACTTAAGTCAACTAGATCAACTAGGAATGCTAAATCTTTATGGAGTGATGAAGTACAAGGTATAGAATACTATTCAGAGGCAGATAATAACTCATCAATCTAAGATCAAAGGGGCAATACATAGGTGAAACATGCAGATAAAGTTGATGCCAATGCTATAGTAAACCGTAGTTTGCAAAAAACAAAGGTTGAGGATAAGGAGGAGACTAATGATCAGCATCCTATGGAACCAACTAGAAGTCCTAGAGGAACACTAGAAAAAACTAGAATCACTGGTGGATCGGCTATGGAGTCATCTGGCAAGAAGAACCCCAATGGAACAGTAAACCCTAGAGGAATTGTTCAGTTTTTCGATAATTAAAGTGGCGATCCAGTGGAGATATATGGTAATGAACAGGTAGGGAATGTTAATATGGAGGTCTTAAAGGATACAATGAGAGGAAACCAACAAACAGCAGCTGGAAAGACTTCTGATCTTAATGGAACAGTAGCTTCTAGGCAGGTTGCTACAGTGAACCCTAATCTGAGTAATGTGTATGAACTTCAATTCAGGATGATGCAGGAGGTTGTAGGAGCTTTGGAGCAGAATGTTAAGGTGATAGAGGAGGCTAATATGATGAACAAAGGGCAGAATGAGCAAGTTATTATCCCAAAGGCATCTCAAACTATAGAGTAGATGCTAATGGGATGTGCATCAGGCATTGATCAGCTTATGCAACTGCAGCTCAATGTTCCATTGAAGACACCTATTCAGACATTACATGATCTAGTGACACACAATGTTGCTCCCGTGGAGATAACTTTGATGGAACAACAACAACTTGACGAAGGAAGAGATTATGTGTCTACGGCTGGGAATTTCAAACAAGTAGCAAGGTAGGCTGACTTACCACCTAGAAGTAGTGAAAAGGGTGGTAAGAAAGTCAAGAAGCAGACAAAAATAAAGAAGCACCTCAACCTACAAGAATCTTGCCCAGGAGGGCAGCCTTACAAACTAAATGATGATTAAGACATTGATTTGGAAAATTAGGTCTGTGAATACACAACAGGCCTTTCCTAGGGTGATCAACATGCAAAGGGAGCAAAGTTTCTTTGACATTGAATTAATGGAGCCTTTGCAGAATGCAAGGCATATACAAATGTATAGAAGAAGGTTGAGTATGGAAACTGCATTCTCTAATATCAATGGGTAGATATGGTTGTTCTTTGATGCAGTGGTGGAATGGGAAATGGTTATGGAGACTCAGAAACAGATGACTGTTAAAGTGTTTCACCAAGATATTGGACAACATATTATGATGACTTTTGTGTATGCAAAATATTCATCATTAGAGCGATTTGAGTTATGGGATAACTTGTTTTATCTAGAAAGTGACATAGAACTACCTTGGCTAGTAGTAGGTGATTTCAATATGGTACTACATGAAGATGAGAATATTGGCGATCTACCAGTACATCCTCCTGAATACGAGGACTTTGCATTTTGTGTAAACTTTAGTGGGTAGTTTGATCTAGGGTATAAAGGCAGTCCATTTACTTGGTGGACTGGGAGACCTAATGCTATGTGTATATTCAAAAGATTGGACAGGATCTTTGTGAATCTACCATTTCAAAATTTGCTTCCTTCAATTGAAGTGGAGCACCTGATTAGAACTAGATCAGATCATGCACCGTTGCTCATGACTTATGGAGAACAGACTACTAATATTGTCAAGCCATTCAAGTTCTTGAACTTTTGGACAAAACATGCTACATTCAAGGATGTAGTGATACAGAATTGGATTGTTGATTTAATTGGAGATCCTTGTAAGGCCCCTTAAAATTTTACCTAAAATTCGGGGTTTCGTGATGCCGAGGTATGCCTATGTGTTTGATGATTGTAGGAATTTTGGGTTGTATAGTACACCGGAGAGTTGAAGAAAAACGTTTGCAGAACATGGCAATCCTGTGGTCCACTACGCGACCGCAGAACCATTTTGTAGGTCATAGATCGACCGCGGAGTGAGGCAAAAATTGAGTCGTTTGAGGACCATTATGCAGTCCATTATACTGCCGCATAACCAGTTTGCGTACCGCACAACCAATCACAAATCCAGCACGAAGGTTTCTGGAGGGGGATTCTGCGGTACATTATGTGACCACAGAACTGGTCTGCGGACCGCAAACCTGTCGGAGATCTGACCCAAGTAGCCCAGTTTTGGAGAATGACTTTTGCGGTCCCTTATGCAAATCACATACATGTTCTGCGGTCCACTATGTGACCACAAAGTTGAATTCAGAGGGTCTATTTTCTGATTCTATAACTCAACCCTATTTCGATATATAGACGTTAAGGACCATTTGTAAATAGAAAATTTGATATTTCTAGAGAGAGAAAGTGCCATAGAGTGTGAGGAGAAGTGCCTAAGCTAAGTGTTCATCAATCATTGCTCAAAAGATGGAGAATTCACAAGGAAAACTCACAAGGTCTTCATCTAAGAGGTAAGGTTCCATACCCTAGTTTCAATTTCGAGCTTGAGATAGAAGATGGTTAATGGAGAGTGTGATTCTCGGGTGTGAGAGTGTTATTTATGCATGCATGTACTATAAAGGTTTGGGGGAAGGTTGTTGAGCTCAAATGGGTAGACTTTGGGTTGGGGGATGAAGGAATCCACCATAGGAGGACCTTGAGATCATAATGTCCACCTAGTGTTTGTTAAAATTCTCAAATGAGTTGAACCCACGAACTTCTTCCTAATTTGTGTTCAAATATGTTATATTACCAAATATATCTAGGTGCTACGATTTATGGAACATTGTAGTAATTCAAGGAAGCTCAAACAAGGTATGTTGGCTAAATTATTCTCTTAGAATTGAGTCCCACGATGGTCTTGTAAGTCCCGAGTTGTTCATTATAAATTTGACTATTCTGAATAAGCTTTGTGTAGAAAATTATTTGTTAAAGATGTGTTCAGAATGATCTTATCTTATTGTGTTATCTTTCGGGATGTGATCTACGTATGGGCTGTGTATTTACATGTTATGAGTTCAGGTCGTCTTTCTAATGAAAGCTATTATGTCAAATTATGTAAGAAAACTCAATGTGCCTAAGACTCTTATTTGCTTACATGTGTATTTAATGTCTTGAATAGAAATGCCTTGTTGTTGATAATCCATGATGATGTTTCAGAGTGAAATAAGTGAGCATGAAATATGAAATACGGCCAAATGATATTACATTTGGGGCCACTAGTGCCAATGAAATGAAGAGACGTGTTAAAGTCATTGAAATGAGCTGTAAATCCTTTAAATAATAAATGCTTTGGGAGTATCGCTTAGTCATCGAGAAAGGATAGGTTGAAATACCCTAACCCTGAAACTACACATTTTGGTGTAGGAGTGAGTGAGGGGTAAAATCCCCATGTGGGGTGGTGAGAGTTTTCCCTGATTATGGGATGGGATTGATGTGCTGAGATAATTCCCCTTAAATGGGATAAGATGATTTCTAGTGGGATGTAAGGTGGCGTCGACCCACACGATATTGTGGTGAGACGGTTTAGCCGATCAGGCTGAGATCAGATGTCATGGCGCACACGTGATGGTGTTGTGAGTGGACATCTCGAGGTAAGACGGCTTAGCCAATCGGGCTGAGATCCCAACTTAAAAGTATTGAAACTTGTCGGAAATTTATCTTTTATTCTAACTTGATTCTTTAATATTGTCTGAGGCCCTCATTGATTCTATGTTTCTTTCTCATAGTACCGTTACTCGTTCTATTGAGGGGGTGTTTATTTTTTCATACTAGTACTATTCTATATGTACTAACGCCCCTTGTGCTGAGGTTGCTGCATCTTTAATGGATGTAGGTGGTTCCACAGCAGGCTGCATTGATCAGTAATAGTAGTACACCCTCTCCTCAGTTGACTTGGTAGGCCCACTTCATTTCGGGGTCTTGTATATCTTGTTCTTTATACATAGCATTTTGAGGTATAGCTAGGTCTTTCCTATCAGCATTATCATAACACTCTTTTGTTTCTATTAGAGGCTCCATAGACACAGGGTGGCTTGTAGCTTGTTTTGGGAAAGTTAAACTACAAATATTGTAATTGTATAACATGTTCCACTTCAAACTATGATTGTTTGGTGTACTATTTTGGAGACTGGTTAATGACGTAACTAATGACAATGAACTTGTGTTGTTCACATGACCTCTTACTGTCTAATTAATAAAATATATCTTCTCTTTATTCATGGGTGAGTTGGTTAGACAGAATTGTACAGGCTTGCTCGACCAGGTTATCTCGGTTGAGCGCTGGTCGTGCTCCCCAAGGTCGAGGTATGACAATCCTTTTCTAATATTCAAACATAAACTAAAGAAGGTGAAGGCAGCACTGTCTAAATAGAGTAAGGATACTTTTGGTGATATATCTAAATAATTGGCAATACCGGAACATATTGTGAACATGAATGAGCTTTTGTTTGAGGAGGAGCCAACAATTGAGAATAGGATTGATCTTCAAAAAGCTCAGGCATAATGGAAGAAATATTTGGGCATACAGGAGCAGTACTGGAAGCAAAAAGCCGGGATGACATGGTTTGTTGAGGGTGATAGAAACACTAGTTTCTTTCACAATCATGTCAATGGTGAGAGGAAGAAGCTTCAATTGAAAAGGATCCATAATGGATACGGGAATTGGCTAGAGGATCACGAACATATGGATAATGCTGTAGTGGATTACCACCAAAGACATTTCACTAAAGAAAGGGATCGTACGTATTTTTCTATGCTGGATAATGTGCCTGTTGTGGTTACTATGGAGAAGAATTTGAAGCTATGTAGATTTCCAACATTAGAATAAGTTAAGGCTGCAGTCTATGAGCTAAGTGGTGATAGTGCCAGTGGTCCTGATGGATTCATTGGCTTGTTTTATCAAGAATGCTGGGAGGTAATATACTATGATATATACAATATGGTACTTCACTTTTATGGAGGTGCGGCATTTCCAAAGTCCATTACTCACGCTAACTTGGTACTGCTGCCAATGAAGCCAAGGGTTCAGACATTCTTAGACCTAAGACCTATAGGTTTGAGTAACTTCATCAAAAAGGTGTTGTATAGGGTGCTACATGATAGGTTGGAAAAGTTCATGCATTCTCTTATCTCACCTAATCAGTCTGGCTTTGTGAAGGGGAGGAGAATCTTTGAGTGCATCCTTCTTACACAGGAAATTGTCACTGGCATAAGGATAAGAGGTAAGCCTACTAATGTAGTGATTAATCTTGATATGACAAAGGCTTATGATAGGGTTTCCTAGAATTATTTGATGCATGTTCTAAGGAGAATGGTGTTTACACAACACTTCATCAACATGGTATGGAATTTACTATCTAATAACTGGTATTCATTGTTGGTGAATGGGCAGTCTTCAGGTTATTTCAAGTCTACAAGGGGAGTGAAACAAGGAGATTCATTGTCTCCTGCCTTCTTAATTTTGTCAGCTGAGGTAATATCTAGTTCTTTGAACAAGCGATTAGAAGAAAACTCATTTGTTGAATTTGGTATGCCCAAGTGGTCTGATCCTTTGAACCACTTGGCATATGTTGATGATGCCATCACATTTGCTTCAGCTCACTCTAATTATTTGAGAAAGATCATGGAAGTTCTTGGTAGATATGAGAAGGTATCAGGACATTTGATCAACAAAACCAAGAGTTCTTACTACATGCATGCCAATGGTGCACATGTATTGTTTCAGGCAGTTGGTGATATTACAGATTTTGCTAGAGGAGAGTTTCCTTTCACATACTTCGGGTGCCCTATCTTCTACACTAGAATAAGGAAGGACTACTATGATGATCTTGTTAAGACGGTGAAGGCTAAGCTACATTCTTGGAAAGGAAAAAAATTATCATTTGGAGGGAAGGAAACACTCATCACTAGTGTGTTGCAAAGCATGCCAGTGCATCTCTTATCAGTTCTTGATCCTCCTGACAATATACTTGAGCACTTACATAAGATCTTTGCACTTTTCTTTTGGAGCACCAAGAAAGAAGGTAAGAGTAGGCATTGGTCTTCTTGGCAGAACTTATGTCTCCCTAAAGAAGATGGAGGTTTAGGCTTCAGATCTCTACATGATATATCAAGGGCCCTATTTGCTAAACTTTGGTGGAGGTTTAGGACTACTAAATCTTTGTGGTCTAACTTTATGTGGAACAAGTATTGCAAAAAGGAGTTGCCCACAGTAGTGCAATTTGGAGAAGGTTCTCATGTGTGGAGGCAGATGTTGAATGCTAGAGAAGAAGTGGAACATGAGATTTTGTGGGAAATGAAGACTGGACTAGATTAGGAGCACTTTATCATGTTGTACCTCCAGATCATCCCATAGATGAGAATTTGAAAGAGGTGACAAAATTGATGCAAAGAGGAGCATGGAATGAGAAGTTGCTTGATCAATGCTTTCCTGATGATATTGCAAAGCATATTAAACACAATGTCTATTCTGAAGGCAGTGAGGAATACTAGGACATGCCATACTGGATGCCAACTTCATCAGGTAAGTTCATAGCTAGTAGTGCCTCGCAGATTCTTATACATAGGGCAAACCCTAATCTAGAGTTAAACACATGTGGATTAAGGGTTTGCCATTCATAATCTCATTCTTCTTGTGGAGATTATGGAGGCATAAGCTATCTAAAGATTATTTATGGAGAAGACAAGGATACATACACGTCTCAAGATGTTGGTGTTGTCAACATCCACATGAGGAGACATTTGATCACATTTTCTTGACTATTCCAACTTCATCAAAGGAGTGGAAGATATTCTTTGGGGTTGCAGAGATTAATGTGCCATTTGTACAGGTGAAAAAAGTGATGAGGGCATGGTAGAATGCTAAGTGTTGTCTAAATTTGAAGCCTTTGTTTAAGGAAGCTCCAGCTATTATCACATGGGAGTTATGGAAGAAAAGGAACACATGCAGGAATGGGGGTACAATTTCTACTAATAGAGTCATTCATGAAGTCAAGAAAACTTTGCATTTATTGGCAAGGGTTAGGTATCCATGGTTATCTCATATACCTGTGTTGTGGCATGACAGGATCAAATTCTTTAAAGGATACAAATCCATTCTGATCACCAGAAAAGTCACTTGGCAGGCTCTTTCTGAAAGGTGGTACAAGTGTAACACTAATGGTGCTTTAAACGGGAATCCTGGACCTAGTTTACTTGGCTTTTGTATGAGATGTGTTGCAGGAGACTTGGTGTAAGCACGGGCAGTGGACTTAGGGGTAACTACCAATGTTGTAGCTGAGGCAAAGGCTATTGTACAAGGGCTGGAATATTGTTTTGCACATGTTCTTCATCCTCTCATATTGGAGACTGATTCTTTGGTATTGAGGAAGGTTATTTAAGGGGAATGGGATCCACCTTGGTGCATAGTGGCAGAAGTGCAGAATATTAAAGAGATGAGGGATCATTTTAATGTGATCTTTCAACATGTGTTAAGAGAGGGCAACACTGTCGCAGATGTTTTAGCTAACATTATTTTCTCTTTTGCAGGTCCAACTCAGTTTCATTCCTTCTCTGAACTTCCTAGTGCAGGGAGGAGACTAATCATCCTTGACAAACCACAACTCCTAATCTTAAGGTTAGGATTGCCAAAAGAAAAGCTCATGTCTGATGAGTATGTTAGGTTTGTTAATGCTTGTGCTTGCTTGCTATCTTGTTATGCTTATATTCTATATACTATTAGAGTATTTTCTAGAGGTATTATCATGTTATCATGCTCATTCTGGTGGTATTCTAATGGTGTATGGAGGTTTTTATACAAGCAAGCAGTGGATACTTCATCATATAAGGGCACAACATGTACTAATGTCAAGCTTTAGGTCATTGTATGTCCTATGCATTGGCTACTGGATATGTATTAGCTACATATTATACACTAGGCTAGTACATAGTTTTGAACCTTATTAGTGGTGTCTTGAGCTCAATAGTTGGAATCTAATGTTTTTACAAGGTTTGTTGTCTGCTATTGTGCATATGTGTATTGTTATAACATTAGCTAGTGGTATCGGCATGCTTTCACGCCCAATATGGAGATGTCATGGTAGTGCATATGCGTTTATTGTAATGCAGAAATTGTACCTATATATAAGTTGCTGCTGACAGCTCATGCTGCAATCTACATATGTCACTTGGCCAAAACTGCAGACATTCATAGATACAGGAAACAGAAGACTATTGTTCAGAGTGCAAATGCTCATTCTCATTGCATATGCATATTTCTTGAATGTTTGGTCAGCCCAAAAGGTAATGGCATTGCTTGGAGATTCACATTTGCCCTGTCCTTTGGAATACAAAATTTGGTGCCTGGTGAGCGTGTTAGACGTGCTACTTTGAGGTTTTGCCCTTGGCTTGTGGATATACATACCAGCATACGTTTGGAGTTGTCTATGATATCACTTGTAATAGTTAGCATTAATAGTATTCTTAGTTTTAGCTTAGCATCTTTTGGATTTGGTGTTGAACAAATTGTAAACTTTGGATCCTTTCTTTTGGATTATTATTTATATATTAGCCACTAGTAATCAAGGCTAGTGGTATAGTTGCTAAAAACAAAAACCTAAACCCTGAACCCGACGCGTGCGAGTTGAGAGCTCTGGCGACCAGACGATTGCAACGACTGCTTCCGAAGCTTTGGCAAGTATTTTATGGCTTCTCTTCTCACTTGCCAGCCTTTTCTTGAGCCTGGTCAGTCATCCTCACCACTCTCAAAAACCCCAAACAACCTCTACGAACACTAATCCAATCTAAAACAATGCAAAATTACTACAACCCATAGCATTAAATCCATCCAGGCAAACCCTTCCCATCGTGCCCATAAAATCCATGGAATACCTTTATGGGGAGCCCATAATTAAGTGGAAGAAGTCATAAGTGAAGCAATCAATCGAGAAACATGCACTACAACTGGCAGTATTGGCAAACCTTTTGTATGGGAAGTCAGTGCTTAATGAGCTATGCAAGGTTATTCCAATTTAATGTGAACTTAAAGGAACATGTTCGATTGGCCTTATTGAAGACAGTCATGCGTTGATTGGATTGTCATAGATGGAAGATTACGGTCATCTACTCTCAAAGCATGCTTTTTACGCAAAAGCTCTAGGAGAGATGTAGCAGATGAGGTGTACGAAGAGGAACCCTTGGTGGAAGCCTCAAGAAGAGACTCCTATTGCAATTTCTTGGATTAGTTTCCTAGATTTTCCACCTAATTGCTTTGGTAAGAAATTTGTTTTTTTTATTGGTAAAACTAGTAGGTAATCCTTTACATGTTTATTTGGCCACACAAAATTGCACTAGACCTAGTTGTGCAAAGGTGAATGTGGAGGTTAATTTGCTTGCTAAATTACCTCAAAGAATAAAAATAGTTGAAGAAGATGATGAAATTGGGCCAGATGAATCAAAATGTATTAAAATCAAGTGCGATTATCTACCAAAATATTGTAAAACTTGTTAGAAACAAGGGCACGAACTTGATTGTTGGGTGATACATCTTGAGTTGCATAAGAAGTATGAGGAATTTATTGATGATCAAAATACTGGGAATGAGTTAGTAGATACTATAACAGCCTCAACTAAGGTCCTCACAAGTGGTAAGGTGGTGGGTACATTGTTTGGGACCTCTCCTTCTTGTACCACTTTCTCATCATCCACAAGTTTCCTTTAACTTGAGGTGGGTAAATTCCTACCTCTTCCACTTCTTGTAGTAACAGCCATGACATGCCCCGTGTTGTTTCCACCATTTAGGTTTATTACCATGTCACTTCGTAGTGGCCCCTTAGGATGATAATTTAGAGCTTGAGAGATTTTTCACATTTGAACTTCTATGTTTCGGATTGATATGGTATGAGAGGCAAATTGGGCATCCGAATTGGCATTCTTTTCCATCATTTACTTAAACATATTCTCGATACGCCCCATCTTATTGTTTGAAGAACTTGGACCATGGGTAGGATTAGGAGGCGGGTTGCTCGGTTGTTGATACATTAGGGGCCTTTGAAAACCCGACCCCCAGTTGCCTTGATTAATGTTCCATCTGCCTTGATTGTTACCCCCCCCCCCCCCCCCCCC